CGAGGGGAGGCCAGTTTGGATTTGGATTCACACCAACCAAATCACATCAAAAGCAAAAACGTAATTGTCATAAAAACTAGCCTGTTTCTGGTCTGCTTGTGTTGTTGTCCATCAGTAGCTAGCTAGCTAAATTGGCCCTTTCCTAAGCCATGGCTGGAGATGGGGATTTTGACTTAATTCTCCGTACAGGCCAATGATTATAAAGGCGATTCTGATCTAACCATACATTTATATGTTGTGCCACCGGCCTGAGACGATTGAAATTCAATATGTAGCCTAGTAGACTCACGTTAACAAGCTAGCTAACTTAGCTGGTTCATTGTTGCCCATGCGAGAAAGTTAGGCTAGCAAGCATTTTAGCCAGGCAGCCTATCAACAACAAATAAAAGCATGTTACTACCATATGACAGAGTCATAGACCGTTTGACAAGATGAAAGAGAGGATGGCATTGGCGTTCAACTAGTCTACTAGTCTCCGACCACTACTTTGTTTCCTTTTCTCTCTCGCTCTCCTCCCACACTACTCACTCTGCCCCTACACAGATGGTAATGCGCCGCCGCAACCTTCGCTCTCTCTCTCCCACTACTCTCTCCTCTTCCATCCTATCATCTCTTCCCTCTGCTCAATCCTTCTCCCTCCAATCTCCTGATTCTGCCTCCTCAACCCTCCTCTCCTCCCTTTCTGCATCCTTTGACTCTCTGTGTCCCCTATCCTCCCGGCCGGCTCGGTCCTCCCCTCCAGCTCCGTGGCTTGATGACTCACTGCGAGCTCACAGAACAGAGCTCCGGGCAGCGGAGCGGAAATGGAAGAAAACTAAACTCCCTGCCGACCTGGCATCTTTTCACTCCCTCCTCTCTACTTTTTCTTCATCTGTTTCTGCTGCTAAGGCCACCTTCTACCACTCTAAATTCCAAGCATCTGCCTCTAACCCTAGGAAGCTCTTTGCCACATTTTCCTCCCTCCTGAATCCTCCTCCCCCCCCCCCCCCCTCCTCTCTCTCTGTGGATGACTTCGTCAACCACTTTGAAAAGAAGGTTGACGACATCCGATCCTCGTTTGTTAAGTCTAATAACACTGCTGGTCCTGCTCACACTGCCCTACCCTATGCTTTGACTTCTTTCTCCCCTCTCTCTCAGATAAAATCCTGCGACTTGTGACTGCAGGCCGCCCAACAACCTGCCCGCTTGATCCCATCCCCTCCTCCAGACCATCTCCGGTGACCTTCTCCCCTACCTCACCTCGCTGATCAACTCATCCTTGACCGCTGGCCATGTCCCTTCCGTCTTCAAGAGAGCGAGAGTTGCTCCCCTTCTCAAAAAACCAACACTCGACCCCACTGATGTCAACAACTACAGACCAGTATCCCTTCTTTCTTTTCTTTCCAAAACTATTGAGCGTGCCGTCTTTAGCCAACTCTCTTGCTATCTCTCTCAGAATGACCTTCTTGATCCAAACCAATCAGGTTTCAGGACTGGTCATTCAACTGAGACTGCTCTTCTCTGTGTCACGGAGACTCTCCGCACTGCTAAAGCTAACTCTCTCTCCTCTGCTCTTGTCCTTCTAGACCTGTCTGCTGCCTTTGATACTGTGAACCATCAGATCCTCCTCTCCACCCTCTCCGAGATGGGCATCTCCGGCGCGGCTCACTCCTGGATTGCGTCCTACCTGACCGGTCGCTCCTACCAAGTGGCGTGGCGGGAAGCTGTCTCCGCACCACGTGCTCTCACCACTGGTGTCCCCCAGGGATCGGTTCTGGGCCCTCTCCTTTTCTCCCTATACACCAAGTCACTTGGCTCTGTCATATCCTCACATGGTCTCTCCTATCATTGCTACGCTGACGATACACAACTAATCTTCTCCTTTCCCCCTTCTGATAACCAGGTGGCGAATCGCATCTCTGCATGTCTGGCAGACATATCAGTATGGATGACGGATCACCACCTCAAGCTGAACCCTGGCAAGACGGAGCTGCTCTTCCTCCCGGGGAAGGACTGCCCGTTCCATGATCTCGCCATCACGGTTGACAACTCCGCTGTGTCCTCCTCCCAGAGTGCGAAGAGCCTAGGCGTGACCCTGGACAACACCCTGTCGTTCTCCGCCAACATCAAGGCGGTGACCCGCTCCTGCAGGTTCATGCTCTACAACATTCGGAGAGTGCGACCCTGCCTTACACAGGAAGCGGCGCAGGTCCTGGTCCAGGCACTTGTCATCTCCCGTCTGGACTACTGCAACTCGCTGTTGGCTGGGCTCCCTGCCTGTGCCATTAAACCCCTACAACTCATCCAGAATGCCGCAGCCCGTCTGGTGTTCAACCTTCCCAAGCTCTCTCACGTCACCCCCCTCCTCCGCACACTCCACTGGCTTCCAGTTGAAGCTCGCATCCGCTACAAGACCATGGTGCTTGCCTATGGAGCAGTGAGGGGAACGGCACCTCTGTACCTTCAGGCTCTGATCAGTCCCTACACCCAAACGAGGACATTGCGTTCATCCACCTCTGGCCTGCTGGCTCCCCTTCCTCTGCGGAAGCATAGCTCCCGCTCAGCCCAGTCAAAACTGTTCGCTGCTCTGGCACCCCAATGGTGGAACAAGCTCCCTCACGACGCCAGGACAGCGGAGTCACTCACCACCTTCCGGAGACATTTGAAACCCCACCTCTTTAAGGAATACCTGGGATAGGATAAAGTATTCCTTCTAACCCCCCCCCCCCCCCCCCCCCCCCCCCCCCCCCCCCCCCCCAAATTGTAAAGTGGTTATCCCACTGGCTATAGGGTGAACGCACCAATTTGTGAGTCGCTCTGGCTAAGAGCGTCTGCTAAATGACGTTAATGTGCCCTTGAGCAAGGCACTTAACCCTAATTGCTCCTGTAAGTCGCTCTGGTTAAGAGCGTCTGCTAAATGACTAAAATGTAAATGTAAATACAAGTAGGGTTTCGACATGTTTTGTTTTGCTATTTTGCCGTCTATGCTATTGGCTAGAGAGCAATCACCACATTTTACATTTTAGTCATTTAGCAGACGCTCTTATCCAGAGCGACTTACAGTTAGTGAGTGCATACATGTTTCATACCACAGGTGTTAACCCCATGTTAGCGGGCAAATGGACATCGTCAAATCAAAACCCAACCTTCATTTATCTGTTGTGATGCACGGATGTTCCAAACTCAGTTTTAGACGACTGACTTTATGACCAAAATTATCCTATTTACACTTTGTAGTACATTTTGTAGTTAACTAGATTAACTGTTTCTGACTCATATAGACGCCACATAGGCCATTTTGAAAGGGATTAGTTGCTTTTTAAAGGCAGTCACTCTATAATGATGTTTAAGTGTTTGAAGTTGAAATGACTAGAGGTAATGCTCCTGTTTTCGCTGACTTGCGGTAACTCTCCGTGGTTCTAAATCAGTAGTTGTTTAGTAAACTGTCGGAAACATCAACTTGCTCGACCATGCTGCAGGTCATGTAACTGTTTGTTACATTGCTATATTTGCTTTGTGGACTTCACCGGACCAGATGTTGCTCTCCGGTTTTGTGAATGAAACAAACATGTGGTTGAATTTATTCTGCCACTGTGTGATCAGCCTTATTGTATATCACGGTAGATTATTAATGTGGTCCTCTGTAGCTCAGCTGGTAGAGCACGGCGCTTGTAACGCCAAGGTAGTGGGTTCGATCCCCGGGACCACCCATACACAAATAAAAAATGTATGCACGCATGACTGTAAGTCGCTTTGGATAAAAGCGTCTGCTAAATGGCATATTATTATTATTATTATATTATTACTATTAACGAATGGGTTATAGAGCAAACAAAGCAATTATCACAACATAGGTTGTGATATGGCTTCCCCAGTGATTTTACCCATGCACCGCTACTGGACAGAATGAGAGCATTTAATAAAATACTACTGTAGGTACAGTAAGTACTGCTACACCAGAGTTGTGATGTGTCATCTCTGCTAGTGTTCATTTTGTCAGTTTCCTTAACTCAGGGGTCTCCCCAACAGGTCGATCTTAGTTTCCTTAACTCAGGGGTCTCCCCAACAGGTCGATCTTAGTTTCCTTAACTCAGGGGTCTCCCCAACAGGTCGATCTTAGTTTCCTTAACTCAGGGGTCTCCCCAAAAGGTCGATCGCGAGCCATCAGCAGCTCGTAGACCACCTATGAGTAGCTCCCCAAAACAATTCTGAAAGTACGTGCAATTATCACTCGTTCTATCGCAAACTGTCACAAACAAATCTCACTCGTATCAGACACCACAAGCTCCCCCCAGCTACTGTCTAATCATCGCAACATTGACATTATCCCACCCCCTGGTTGGCCACTATTGGCTTAAAAAGCCAAACCTAACACAATATCTGCCAATTCATTTCCAGCAATATTTCCCCTTTCTGTTTGTGTGGTGTGGGCGTTTGTCTATCACTCCGTGTGTAGACTGTTGTGATTGGCTAGAGGTGTTCCCGTAAATGCCCACCGGATTGATGCAAATAATCATGATATGATTCTGCCAGGGAGGCCTAGGCTACTTTGTAGTTAACATTTCATTGAGAAGGATTTCAGGAAAGCCTTTGCATCTACCAGAATAAATTATAGATAGCGGTATCAGAAATGGCTACGAGCGCACCGCGAACACATTCCCATGGCATGATGTTGCTTCTTCAGTTGATATCAAATCCAAATCACCGATGCATTCTGTTCATGTATTATGAGAAACTACAAATAAATGTTCTAATAAGTTCAATAAATGTATTAATATTGTTGAATTCTGTTTTAATGTCTGGATTCCGTGATTCCGTCGTCATTCTCCGCACTGGGGATTTTATAGGGTCCTTAATGGCTTACCTATCGCACTAAAATCCTTTCATTTCATTTTAACCTCCATTTACAAACGGCTTGTGTTAACAGTTTCAAAACACAGAGAATTGAACCAAACTACAAGCGTAAGAAACCCTGTTACCACTTCAAGCGGAGCCGATTATTCCCCAGATTATTGTTTTACCTTGTAATCAGGCCTTATGTTGGCAAAGTAAATGTAGGAGTCCACAGCCAGTCCGATCCTCAGTCCTCCCCCTTCCCAAGCAACCTCTGTCATCTGCTTGCCAGGCACCTTCAAAGTTCGCAAATGCTATGGAAAAGGGAGTCAAAATTGCTTTGGTCAAATGCCATATAGCCTAATGACAATATTGTGTACTCTGTAGGGGCCGAATTCCAACTGGAGATCTACTGTATATGCTACTGTATATCCACATTGACAGGGAACATCTGAAAGCTACGCTACGAGAGGTTGGAGTCTGGGATGTCCTGGCTCTCTCACCTCTCCGAATGGTGTGTAGAACTGCACCACATTGACCTCCTTCTCCATAGCCATGGCCCTCAGGGAGCCTGCCACAGCCAGCACGCTGCCACACTGGTTCCACTGGATACTGGCCACGTTCATCAGTGTGTCTATGAACACTGGGCCTGGAGAGGGACAGGAGAAAAAGGGGAATTATCGGTGGAACAAGGACCTTCATTGTCATTATCACGATATTACTCCAAACTTACTCAAATGTAACTAACTTAGCCAGGGATTTCCAAATGAAAACATGCAAATATCTCTTATACAGTTTATACCTTGGGATTCTGGCATTATTTTGGCAATAAGTCATTACAGCAGACATTTAACAGTCAAGGATTGTTCCATCTCCACAAAGCTCCCCATTCTCCAGCCCCATTCCCCCCCTCCCCATCGTCGTCGGTGATCAGGCCTACCACCGTTGTGTCATCAGCGAACTTAATGATGGTGTTGGAGTAGTACATATTCGCTTATACATGCGGTCGAGGGTGAACAGGGAGTACAGGAGGGGCCTAAGCACACACCCCTAAGGGGCCCCCGTGTTCAGGATCAGCGTGGCAGATGTGTTGTTGCCTACTCTTACCACCTGGGGGCGGCCCATCAGGAAGTCCAGGATCCAGTTGCAGAGGGAGGTGTTTAGTCCCAGGGTCCTTAGCTTAGTGATGAGCTTGGAGGGCACTATGGTGTTGAACGCTGAGCTGTAGTCAATGAACAGCATTCTGACATAGGTGTCCCTCTTGTCCAGGTGGGAAAAGGCAGTGTGGAGTGCAATAGAGATAGCGTCATCTGTGGATCTGGTGTTGCTGTGAGCCATGACCAGCCTTTCAAAGCATTTCATGGCTACAGATGTGAGTACTACGGGGCGATTTAGACAGGTTACCTTGGCGTTCTTGGGCACAGGGACTATGGTGGTCTGCTTGAAACATGTAGGTATTACAGACTGGGTCAGGGAGAGGTTGAAAATGTCAGTGAAGACACTTGCCAGCTGGTCAGCACATGCTCAGAGTACTCGTCCTGGTAATCCGTCTGGCCCTGCGGCTTTGTGAATGTTAACCTGTTTAAAGGTCTTGCTCACATTGGCTACGGAGCGCGAGATGACACCGTTGTCCAGAACAACTGGTGCTCTCATGCATGGTTCAGTGTTGCTTGCCCGAAGTGAGCATAGAAGGTATTTAGCTCGTCTGGTAGGCTCACGTCACTGGGCAGCTCGCGGCAGTGTTTCACTTTGTAATCCATGATAGTTTGCAAGCCCTGCCACATCTGACGAGCGTCAGAGCCAGTGTAGTAGGATTCGATTTTAGTCCTGTTTTGACACTTTTTGTGTTTGATGGCTTGTCGGAGGTCGCAGCGAGATATCTTATAAGCGTCCGGATTAGTGTCCCGCTCCTTGATAGCGGCAGCTCTAGCCTTTAACTCAGTTCGGATGTTGCCTGTAATCCATGGCTTCTGGATGGGATATGAGCGTATGGTCACTGTGAGGACGAGATCATCGATGCACTTATTAATGAAGCTAGTGACTGATGTGGTAAACTCCTCAATGCCATCGGATGAATCCCGGAACATATTCCAGTCTGTGCTAGCGAAACAGTCCTGTAGCTTAGCATTCGCTTCATCGGACCACTTCTGTACTGGTACTTCCGGTTTGAGTTTTTGGTTGTAAGCAGGAATCAGGAGGATTGAGTAATGGTCAGATTTGCCAAAGCAGGGCATAACATTTAATTTTGAGTTCCACTGTGGCAGGTAGACAAAATCTACCAGCCACAGTACAGAACTACAGGACTGTTTCGCTAGCACAGACTGGAATATGTTCCGGGATTCATCCGATAACATTGAGGAGTTAACCAGTTTATCAGTCACCAGCAAAAATATATTTTCTTTAATGCAAAAATTACACCAACAAACCACAAAGAAACGGATGAGCATGCTTTGTAATGTTTCTAAAACAATACATGTATTACTAGTCAGAAGTAACTAATGTGGTATATTGAATAATTCCATTTTTCGTGACCTGTCCCAAAATTTCACAGATGAGACAAACATTTTCACCTGCCCCTTTAATAGGAACGGGAGGTTACCGTGGTAGCGCGTTTCGAGTAATGTTTGTGCCGGTGAGATTGAGTCTGACTAGTAGAAGCGTCGTCTTCTCTTCCCTAGCAGTTTAAACTTAAACGTAGAAAAACAACCTAGCTTGTGAACAAAACAATGTAAATAGCCAAGGACAAAGTCTCATTTCAGTACTTTTCGTTTTAAGTAAATTAGACCAACTTTTATGCCTGTGCGCAGCGCTTCTAAAAATGAATCTTTCACTCAGCTCTTCACGTGCGCACAGCCCCCAGCCAGGCAGTGTTGCAACGCGAGGTGGAATAGGCTATATAGGATTCATAGTTCTTCGACTTTGTGTGATTATTTATCAGTTATGAAACAAAACGGTGGAAATGCTTTGAAAACAGCTACTGCAGCATTTATTTTACTATAATCATACTTTACTATTTTTATTCACAAATGCGAGTGAAATGCTCCCATTGTGGAGCCCTGACCACCCGACAACGTGGCTGGTAAAATAGACATCTTACCCGCCAATGCCAAAATCTACCCGCATTTGGCAGGTGTTAATTTTAGGCCCTGTGCCAAAGGGAGGGTGGGGGAGAGCTTTGTATGCGTTTCTGTATGTGGAGTAAAGGTGGTCTAGAGTTTTGTCACCTCTGGTTGCACAGGTGAAATGCTGGTAAAAAATGGGAGAAAACGGATTTCATTTTTCCTTCATTAAAATCACCGGCCACTAGGAGCGCCGCCTCTGGATGAGCGTTTTCCTGTTTGCTTATGGACCTATACAGCTCGTTGAGTGCGGTCTCAGTGCCAGCATCGGTCTGTGGTGGTAAATAGACAGCTACGCAAAATATAGATGAATACTCTCTTGGTAAGTAGTGTGGTCTGTAGCTGATCATTAGGTATTCTAACTAATGGCGAGCAAAACCTCAAGACTTCCTTAACATTAGAGACCGCGCACCAGCTGTTGTTAACAGAGAGACACACCCCTCCCCCCTAACCTTACCCGACAATGCCGTTCGGTCTTGACGATGCATAGAAAAACCAGCTAGATGTATATTATCCATTTCCTTGTTCAGCCATGACTGGGAGAGACATAGGATATTACAGTTCTTCAGATCCCGTAGATAGGATAGTCTCGAACTGAGCTTGTCCAGTTTGTTCTCTAGTGACTGTACATTCGCCAAAAAGAACGGAGGTTAGGGGCAGTTCATTTGCACGCCAACGTAGTTTCATGTAGTACAAATCGAGATCAGTGATCGCTGTTCTGATGTCCAGAAGCTGTTTTTGGTCTTAGGAAATGATAAAAAAAAACAGCTATCCAATGCAGCGCCATTTCAACTGCTCCGCCCCCCGCCCCAATTCACTCACTTTCATCGTTCTCGTAGCGCATGACCTGACACCGTCCGTTATCAAAGCAGATGGCCAGGCAGGGGCAGTCTTGCTCCACGTAGCCCTCTGACCCTGCGTACCAGTGGATCCCTGCGATACTGATGGCTCCAGTCACGTTATGCAGACAGCTGACCGTCATCTTCATCTGCAACATAATGATCATTTCTAAGTCTCCTAGAACTAAGTTATCCACTCTTCAGAAGTGGGGATGCATTAAACACCCTAAAACAATTGAAACGTGCACCTTTAATAAGTGTACAAAAAGTGCTATCCATCATTACTTTTGGGGTGCTGCTATCTTTTCCCCTTTTTGAAAGGCTACCAGACTTACAATGAAGTTTCCCTGATTGTCGTAGATGTGGATTTCCCCATTGGCCATCCCAAAAAGGAGGATCTTGCTATCTGGCGACCAGGCCACGTGAGCGAGCTGAATTCCCTTGAGCTCTTTCCCCCAGATTCGGTTACCTAAACAGACAGAACACATCCATTATAAAACAACCATGTGCCATATTCGTCATGATGCTTTTGTCATTACCATTATACTATACAACGGGTGTGAGAAATCAATAGCAATGCAATGACAACTTGTTCTGACTGTTAAATCTGAAATAACCTGATGAACCCAGTGCATGAATTAGAAAAATAATTCTGTCCAGACAGACGTGTTAAAGAGAGGAGCACTTACCATCTACAGATCCAACAATGACTGCCCCGTCCTCGTAAACAATACAAATCTTCTGGCCGTCTGCATTCCAACTCATGCTCCTCACCACGGACTTGTTCCTGTTGTTAATCATCTCCTCGTACCAGCAGCCTATTCACACACCATATCATTATGATCATCACCTGGTACCAGCAGCCTATTCACACACCATATCATTATGATCATCACCTGGTACCAGCAGCCTATTCACACACCATATCATTATGATCATCACCTGGTACCAGCAGCCTATTCACACACCATATCATTGTGATCATCACCTGGTACCAGCAGCCTATTCACACACCATATCATTATGATCATCACCTGGTACCAGCAGCCTATTCACACACCATATCATTGTGATCATCACCTGGTACCAGCAGCCTATTCACGCACCATATCATTATGATCATCACCTGGTACCAGCAGCCTATTCACACACCATATCATTATGTTCATCACCTGGTACCAGCAGCCTATTCACACACCATATCATTATGATCATCACCTGGTACCAGCAGCCTATTCACACACCATATCATTATGATCATCACCTGGTACCAGCAGCCTATTCACACACCATATCATTATGATCATCACCTGGTACCAGCAGCCTATTCACGCACCATATCATTGTGATCATCACCTGGTACCAGCAGCCTATTCACGCACCATATCATTATGATCATCACCTGGTACCAGCAGCCTATTCACACACCATATCATTATGATCATCACCTGGTACCAGCAGCCTATTCACGCACCATATCATTATGATCATCACCTGGTACCAGCAGCCTATTCACGCACCATATCATTATGATCATCACCTGGTACCAGCAGCCTATTCACACACCATATCATTATGATCATCACCTGGTACCAGCAGCCTATTCACACACCATATCATTATGATCATCACCTGGTACCAGCAGCCTATTCACACACCATATCATTATGATCATCACCTGGTACCAGCAGCCTATTCACACACCATATCATTATGATCATCACCTGGTACCAGCAGCCTATTCACACACCATATCATTATGATCATCACCTGGTACCAGCAGCCTATTCACACACCATATCATTATGATCATCACCTGGTACCAGCAGCCTATTCACACACCATATCATTATGTCATACATCAAATAGTAAACAGAAATTGACAACACTGAGATGGCTTCAACATGGCTGAAGTGTTTCTCTGACTTGACTTGAAATATCCTTCAGTGTAATAGACCTACAGTCTTTCTGCCATTAGAAGGGGAAAACGTCATCCCAAACATCCTATCTGAGACTCACTTCTGGGCCATAATAATCAGTTAGACATCACAATGATCTTGAAACCGAAAATATAGGCTGTAAGACAAAATGATATAGAATTGGCCACATGGGTCCTGATGGATCTTGCGTTTTACCAACCCCCGCCATACATTATTCTCAGTGCATGTCACTATACAGTGTAGCCTACCTTTGTAGAGCATCCACACAATAATGAGGCCATTCTGGTCACTGGTGGTGAGCTTCTGGTACTGCTCGTTCCATGTAACAACCTGGACTGCACCTGTGGCATACCAAACAACAAACAGAGTTCAGAGGTCACACTGAAGAGTTCAGAGGTCCCACTGGCTCCCAGAAATCTTTTTTTTTTTTTTTTTTAATCAGCAGACTGCTTGCCACATGTTCCATAATGTCACCTTACTTACCACTGTGGCCTTCAAGTGTCTGATTCATTGACAAATTGCTGGGTGCTGCAAGTCCTTTGAGTTTGGCATCGTCTGTTGAAAGTTCACGGCCCCAAAGAGAACAAGAGGTCATGTTTTGTGTGTTTTTACAATTACAGTGACAACACTATCGTTTAGGCTACTTACGTATATAGCACACTACTACAGTAATTGCTAACACTAAGTCATTATTCTTTAAGTGTGTCTTCTTCTCTGGATACAAAAGCTGCACATTTTGCATTGAAACGCTCAAGCCTAAACCAAGCCTATATCTAGCCGATAGTGAGTTAAATAAGCCTGTCAACGTCACAAGCTGCTTGAATCATACGATAGCTCTAAAGTAGCCTAATACAGAGAAGCCCAAGCAAATTGGTTCCTGACACCATTGCGCTGTACTTCCACCTAAGACTTACCCCGCACCAGTGTTTTATGTTAATGTAAGCGCTAGTGTAATTGTGTTTCCATCAGGAGTGTGACACTAAAGACTTGGGGCAATTAGAGTGCATTTGGCAGTAAGCGAACGGCACCTAACCCTAATTAGGTGTAAGTCGCTCTGGATAAGAGCGTCTGCTAAATAACTAAAATGAATCTGAATCAAATGGGTTTGGAAACATTGCATAACATAGGTCAGATGGTACTCTCAGCAAATCTCGACTAAGAAAATGTTATAGAGGTAAATTGTATTGGAAACCCAGTTCACCTGTCTGTGTCTCCAACTTTAGGACTTTGAGAAGACCCTCATCCCCTCCACATGCTATAAAGCCTTGGTCTTTGTTCCAAGACACACACTTCAGCCGTATGTTGTTGGGGATGGCAATCTGGGAGGGGAAGAGGATTGTGCATTTAGATAAAATGGATTATAACTGGTTGTTACTGTTGTGGGCAAAAGGGACACTGATTGTATCGCTTATGCCAACAGGCTCTGAAAAATGTGCCTGCTATCCCAGGAAGTAACATGCACAGTATGACTAACGTTAGTTTGCAGGTCTCATAACTAGCTAGCTAGCAGTAAATGGCTGGCTCAAACATGCAAGAGACTTTGTGCATGATGGAGATGAATACAATATTAGCCTAATCATAATGGCATGACAATCATAATTATTATGATGATGATGCTCTCGTCTTGATAGGCAACAACAAGTGAGAGACGTATAGAAGCTTCACGCGTATCAACAAAAATATCTGATAGTTAAATGTCACCGAAATGGATGCTTACCTTCTTACTGAGATAAATAAACATCGTTGCTGGTAAGTGACCCAACACACGTTCACTAGAATTTGCTTTCTAAAGCTAACATTAGCTAGCTAGCGACGTTAGAGAGCTAGCAGCTTGCTACTGCTAGCTAGCTTATGGAAGTAGCTAGCTGGAGATTCAGTCACCGTTGTGAAACAGTTTACAAACGAACTATTGTAGAATATAGCTAGCAAACTCCGCGCAAGATACATTTATAGGTAGGTATTTATTTAATAACCATGGTTTTCCTTCATAAACTCAATTCACAAGCCAGATTTTTTTGCAGCACTTCGACGTCGCTTTCATCGGTATCCCTGGTAACCACACACCGGAAAGCTCTTTCTCGAGGCTTCTGCTCTCAACATTGTGGTAATTGTAGTCCGTAATGATTTATCTCCGTGTTGTGTTGTAGTCCTTGTTGGTTGCACTCCCTTCTGCATCTCTTTAGAAACTTGGGCATAGAGTCTCTTTATTCCGAGTTTATTATCTCAATGCACTGTTCACATGTGTGTATGTAATCACTTCTGAAATGGGAAATGCCAGGGCCATGTATTAGAATATCTACAGTATGGCTCAGTCTGGGAAAACCCTGGCTACATTATGTGCCTACTTTTTATCATTCAGCTATAGTCTGTGAACATTCCTTGGTCCCGTATGGCTCAGCTGGTAGAGTATGGCGCTTGCAACACCCATACATGAAAGTGTATGCACGCATGTCTATAAGTTGCTTTGGATATAAGTGTCTGATTTTTTACATTTTAGTCATTTAGCAGACGCTCTTATCCAGAGCGACTTACAGTTAGTGAGTGCATACATTTTTTCATACTGGCCCCCCGTGGGAATCATGCAAGCGCCAGGCTCTACCAACTGAGCTACAGGGGGCTGATAAATGGCATATATGAAGTTGACAATCCCTTTTCAGTCTCTCCTTTTTTTTTGGGGGGGGGGGAGGGGGGGTTAATTATTCTACTTACAAATTGTTCGGTAGCTGGTGGACTTGAAGACAAAGGTATATCTTATGTTTTGTTATATTGTGCTTGACGTATATACAGTATATGCATGTAGCACTTTAGTCTTTATGACCTTTTGATATTTTACCATGTGAAACCAAAAATATTGACAGAAACAATGTTAATATGACATTTCTTCAAAATATGTATTTAATGTATACATTTGTACAAATATCCAAAATAGAACACTAGAAAATAGAACAATAGAACAGTATATATTGACAGAAATTACATTCCATGTGTCTTGTCTTTCATTTGATGGAGCCATTATTGCTTCCTCTTTATTATAGGTGATGTGGTGGAAGATGGAATGTTGTTCAACTGGAAAGGTGCCACCATGGGGAGACAAGTATTGTGCAAAAAAAGTCAACTTTGCTCTTTGTTCCTAGCTTTAAATGTAATGAAATGGGGGCATCTGTTGTGAGCAAATGGAACATTATTGGTCATGTCATTCAATGGTAAACACATTGTTTTAGACCTAAAACACATATATTGAAGGTTGTTATACAGTACAATAACTCCAAAATGGACTGTTGTTAATAATGACGGTTTGCGAAAAAGAGGAAAACTATACAGCCATTTTAGATTGTGGTGAACTGGGTGAGCTCTGAATGGTCTCTTTGCAGCGTCCCCCTTCTTTAGAATCAACGGCTGCGTCCAAACTGGGTCACTTTCCTCGATAGGTCATCTAGTGGAAATAACAGTCAAGGAAATGATTTTGTCTTCTTCAATACATACACTGAAGTGTAATAGGGAAGTGTAAAAGTTCAAAGTAGAGCGATATCCACTCGGGCCATATGTACAACATTGCAGCTGGTGGTAGTGGCTTTGTGAAAAGCCCTGTATAAATGCCACCCTGACCCATTATAACGGTGAGGTAAAAGGATATGTTTGTTGGTCAGCTGCTGTATGGTGGTCTGCATCTTCATCTGGAAGGCAATCTGAGCCTCACACATGCAGGCGTCTTCACTCAGCTCATTCCCACTCATCTCGTTCGCATCCTCTGAAAGAGGAACTTGACATTAAGTTACTGCAGTTACCAATAAACAACTTTATCAGTTTAGCTCTTCCTGAATTATTTTGGTCATCTAAATACGATAGGCTGATCAGTATTGTGCACAGGAGGTTGGTGGCGCCTTAATTGAGTAGGATGGGCTCATGGTAATGGCTGGAGCGGAATAGGTGGAATGGTATCAAATACATCAAAGACATGCTGTTTTCAACTCTTAATGATCGGCTATGAAAAGCCAACTGAGAGACCTGAGCCCTAGGACCATACGTCGGGACTACCGGCCGTGGTGACTCCTTGCTGTCCCCAGTCCGCCTGGCCTTGCTGCTATTCCAGTTTCAACTGTTCTGCCTGCGGTTATGGAACCCCTACCTGTCCCAGACCTGCTGTTTTCAACTCTTAATGATCGGCTATGAAAAGCCAACTGAGATTTATTCCTGATTATTATTTGACCATGCTTGTCACTTATGAACATTTTTGAACATCTTGGCATGGTTCTGTTATAATCTCCACCCGGCACAGCCAGAAGAGGACTGGCCACCCCTCATAGCCTGGTTCCTCTCTAGGTTTCTTCCTAGGTTTTGCCTTTCTAGGGAGTTTTTCCTAGCCACCGTGCTTCTACACCTGCATTACTAGCTGTTTGGGGTTTTAGGCTGGGTTTCTGTACAGCACTTCGAGATATTAGCTGATGTAAGAAGGGCTATATAAAATAAAATTGATTGATTGATTGATCAAAGACATGGTTTGATGCCATTCCATTCACTCCGTTCCAGCCATTATTATGAGCCGTTCTCCCCTCAGCAGCCCCCTGTGTTACACAGTAGCTAGAAACTTAAAGTGTAACTTCTTCCACACCTAAGAATCTATTAAAACATCTTTTCCATAGTGGTTACAAGGAAACTAACTGTGTAGTTACAAATTGCACAACGCTATCAAATATTACAATTCGCTGGTACTATGAGGTATTGGAGCAACTTAATGTAAAGTGTGACAGCTAGTTTACTTCATGTAAAGTCAATACAGACAATGCATACAGTCAAGTGGCATCAAGAAGTTAGTCAAAGATCAGGTGAAGCTTTTTTAGATCATTGACGGGAAGTCAGTGGTAAGTCAATTGGGTTTTGCAAAAGGTTAACAATCACTTCAAAGCTTTAACCAAGGCAGTAGACCAGCCATTCATTCAAGCTTTAACCAAGGCAGTAGACCAGCCATTCATTCAAGCTTTAACCAAGGCAGTAGACCAGCCATTCATTCAAGCTTTAACCAAGGCAGTAGACCAGCCATTCATTCAAGCTTTAACCAAGGCAGTAAACCAGCCATTCATTCAAGCTTTAACCACGGCAGTAGACCAGCCATTCATTCAATATTTAACCAAGGCAGTAGACCAGCCATTCATTCAAGCACTTGTTCATCATAAAACAAACCCATCAGGTAGTAGTTAATATACTTTGATTTTTCAAGGTCTCCCGTAGATGTGAAACAAACCATAGGTGACCGCATGCAATTTTAAATACCCAGGCATCAGTCCAACAAACGCATGAGGCCAAACACAAGTCAGACGGCCAGGCCCCTTTGGGTCCTTCTCCTGGATCTGGCTGCTGTTCCCCTAGCAGCTCATGCTGCGCCTCCCCGTGCTCATCCATTTCCTTCTTCCTTATTGTGGCAGAACTTGCTCTTTAAGGTGTGAGCTATGGAGTCCACGGTGCTAAAGTCGGCTGAGTGAAAGTAATGCTGGCTGTGGTGCTCAGAGGATATCTCCAGGAGCTCGCTCTCCTCCGTTTCACCCACCGCGAACGTCTCAACACCTGAGGAAAGAGAGAAGGACGACAGGACAGGACAAGGTTCACCTCTTTTGACAAACTCAAAACTATATACATGGGATTGGACGTTTAAGTATTACACAGCTATGGTAGGAGGAAACGTGCATTCATATAATGAACTCGAAATATTTACTGGATGTACAACAGAAAACTGTGAGTAATTTTAGAGTTTGGAGTCATCATCTTACAACTTCAGACATGTTCAACTCAATAGAATGGTGTTACATTATACACTGTTTAAGAAAAAGGGCTCTCACCCTGCTCTTTGAGGTTCCTGGCGTGCTCCGAGATGTCGTCTTGCAACTGTCCGTCCGTCAGCACGATGGCCACCCGGGGCACTTTGGCCTGGTGCCCTCTCCCTGGGTGAAGCTCCTGTCCAGCAGATGGACCAGGGCCAGACTGGTCATGGAGCCCATGTACTGAACACCTCTCACCGCCTTCTTCAAAGCCTTGGTGGTCCGGTGCTAGTTTAAGGTGAACTCGGTCCGGACTCGGCTGGAGTACTGGATCAGGCCAACCTGTACAGTGCCAGCGTTGACTCTTCACCAGCTCAAAGTTGTCCAGGCGGACACTCTTATAGCCATCAATGGCCAAGACAGGTCGAGAGCTCCAGCCCTGCAGCCCAGGCTACTCTGCAGCTCCACGGGTGTGAATGCTAAATAAGCCACGCCAACGCATCACAACAAACTCACCATGTATTAGCCGTATAAGGTGAAAGGGGGGGGACAGCAATGTTAGCTAGCGTAAACGCATTGGATAGTGGCATGCACAGTGCTTGACTTCGGCAGGAACACACAGGGACTGAGTTCCGGGCACCTTACATTTTCTACAGCATGAGTTCCTGCACCTCTTGTAGTAATATCGGCTTAAAAAATATTGCGGAGTTCCGACACCTAAATGTAACAGTACCAGCACCCAGAATGAGTGTGGCACCTAGTTCAGTCCACTTCAAGCACTGGGCATGCATACCATAACTGCAGCATTTAGGATGTCTAGCCTATGAATTCTGGAATAAAGGTGCACCAACCGTTCAAACCTGGTCCATTTTGGTTTTGGTTTTGGTTTTGCAAAGAACCTGCTGCTAAGTGTAAACACAAGACAAAATCTTTCACATTAATATTGAACCTTTGCCCCTAAATACAAGGCTTGTTTCGTTACCCTCTCCTTTCTGTATTACACAATAAATATAGTAAAAATGTCCCCTACACACAAAAACATTCCGGCAACACTTTATTTGAAGGGTACCTACATAAGGACTCCATAATACATTCATAACTCATACATAACATAACACATTCATAAGCAGTACATGAGCATTTCATAATTACTTATGTCAACAATCGTTGAAAACGTTCCTGTAACATAAAAATCAACCTGTGGTTGTTGGCATTATAATTTATTAAATGCTTGCTTATATATGGGTTATTCATGGGTTATGAATGTGTTATGAAGTCCTTATGTAGGTACCTATCGAACAAAGTGCTATCCACATTCCCGATAGAGGCTTGTGGTCCTTACGTGAGCATGTTTTCTTGTCTGCATTCAGTGTATAGCCTTCTCGACACTTGCAGGTGTACGAGTTGTTGTTGTTGACACATATGTGGTCGCAGTCGTGTCCCAGGGCACAGGCGTCCACACCTGTAAACAAACATCCTCACAGCTGATTGGTTTAGTCTGACAACATCATCACCTTGAACAGAATTAATCAGGTTTGGAATAATTCAGGTAAATTATTAATTACTTTCTAATTGGTCAATTGAGGGTTATCATACGGAATCGAATCATAAATCGCTGTTTCGCATTAACTGTTAAAATAATTATTACTATTAATCAATCTTTTTTGGGTACAGGTGCACAACACCAGTCCTCGAGGGCCTCGTCTGCTGGTTACCATTCCTGATTTTTAAACAACAGCTAGTTTAGACCTGTGAAACCAACAGCTAGTTTAGACCTGGGGATCCAACAACTAGTTTAGACCTGGGAAACCAACAGCTAGTTTAGACCTGGGAAACCAACAGCTAGTTTAGACCTGGGAAACCAACAACTAGTTTAGACCTGGGAAACCAACAACTAGTTTAGACCTGTGAAACCAACAGCTAGTTTAGACCTGGGAAACCAACAACTAGTTTAGACCTGGAAAACCAACAACTAGTTTAGACCTGGGAAACCAACAACTAGTTTAGACCTGGGAAACCAACAGCTAGTTTAGACCTGGGAAACCAACAACTAGTTTAGACCTGGGAAACCAACAGCTAGTTTAGACCTGGGAAGCCGCCAACAACTAGTTTAGACCTGGGAAACCAACAGCTAGTTTAGACCTGGGAAACCAACAGCTAGTTTAGACCTGGGAAACCAACAACTAGTTTAGACCTGGGAAACCAACAACTAGTTTAGACCTGGGAAACCAACAGCTAGTTTAGAACTGGGAAACCAACAACTAGTTTAGACCTGGGAAACCAACAACTAGTTTAGACCTGGGAAACCAACAACTAGTTTAGACCTGGGAAACCAACAGCTAGTTTAGAACTGGGAAACCAACAACTAGTTTAGACCTGGGAAACCAACAGCTAGTCTAGACCTGGGAAACCAACAACTAGTTTAGACCTGGGAAACCAACAGCTAGTTTAGACCTGGGAAACCAACAACTAGTTTAGACCTGGGAAACCAACAGCTAGTTTAGACCTGGAATTGTGCACTGCCCCTAAGGAATTGTGCACTGCTATTATAGGAAGACTTGCAAACATGACCTATCCCTCAGCTAAGCAATGGCCTCCTTCTCTTACCACAAAGGGTTTCTCTGAACTTGGACGTGAGCTTCTCGATGACGCCGTAGGTCTCCACGTAGAACACGTGTTCGTCCAGTGGCAGACTGGCCATGAGACGCAGGGACTTCATGTCCGCCCTGTCCACCCCCACTGCGTAGATCTCGATGCCTGCAGCCCTCGCCGTCGCGGCAACAACCTCCACCGTGTCCTGGGGCCGCCCGTCCGTCACAATGATGGCCACCTTGGCGATGTTCTTGTTGGTTAGCCGGGCGCCCGACTCCTCGGTGAAGGTCTCCTCCATGGCTGTCTTGATGGCTAGCCCCGTCATGGTGCCAGCCGCTAAGGATTCGATGCGGGCCAGCGCTGCCTTCAGGCCCGGCTTGTCGAAGTAAGTCTTGAGCAGGAACTCAATCTTCACCGTGCTAGCGTAGTTCACAACGGCCACACGTGTGGCGTCCGCGCCAACCTCGAGGGTGTCGACCATGTCAGCCAAGAAGATTTTGACCTTTTCAAATTCTTGGGGACGCACGCTACGGGAGCTGTCGATGATGAACACCAGATCTAGGGGGCGGCTTTTGCAGTGGGTTTCTGCGAGGGAAAAGATGTGGCATAGGTTTTTACCACAGAGGGTGAAATGGTTTACTCTACACACTTTGACAGGGAACTGCTAGCCAGAGTTCCTCTGTCAGATACACTGAGTGTACAAAACATTAGGAACACCTTCATAATATTGAGTTGCACCCCCTTTTGCCCTCAGAACAACCTCAATACATCGGAGCATGGACTGTACAAGGTGTCGAAAGCATTCCACAGGGATGCTGGCCCATGTTGACTCCAATGCTTCCCACAGTTGTGTCAAGTTGGCTGGATATCCTTTGGGTGGTGGACCATTCTTGATACACACGTGAAACTGTTGAGCGTGAAAAACCCAGCAGCGTTGCAGTTCTTGACACACTCAAACCAGTGCGCCTGGCACCAACTACCATACCCTGTTCCAAGGCACTTAAATATTTTGTCTTGCCCATTCACCCTCTCAATGGCACACATACACAATCCATCTCAAGGCTTTAAAATCCTTCTTTAACCTGTCTCCTCCCCTTCTGATTGAAGTGGATTTAACAAGTGACATCAATAAGGGATAATAGCTTTCACCTGAATTCACCTGGTCAGTGTATTTCATGGAAAGAGCAGGTGTTCCTAATGTTTTGTACATTCAGTGTATATCAAACACATTCAGGTTTCACATTCAGGCCTGGAGTTGCTGAAGTTTTAAGCAAGTCACCTTTACATGTTTTACAAGTACATTTACTAAGTGCTACTATTCTAAAAGGATTGGATGGGAGCGTTTGTTTTTAAGCGGGCAATCGTGCACGCTTCATTACACACAGCAATGATATGCTACAAACAAAGCAGAACAAATGAAAGTCTAAAGGAGTCTGAAGTAATAAAGGAGTCTGAAGTGGATGAATACAAAACTTCTAAAATCAGGAATGGATATGAGGTAAAGCAAAGCCTAGTGAGAGGAGTTTCTGAACTTCTCTGAGGCAAATAAACATTGTAACTTAGCAACAGGGAAAGTCAGGTCAATTCAACCAAACCAATTTTAAATTTTAAACAAAATAGAATGCCCACGTTTAGCCTTCTTCTCTCAAGATTCCCCTGCAGAGGACAAAATAAAAACAACCCAATAGTGACTTTTATCACAGCACCTGCTCAATCATATGACAAGATAAGAGATTTAAAAAATAATAATAACACCAACAGAAGAGGCTGGCTGTTAGCCTTAAGCATCAGTAAGAGGCTGGCTGTTAGCCTTAAGCATCAGTAAGAGGCTGGCTGTTAGCCTTAAGCATCAGTAAGAGACTGGCTGTTAGACTTAAGCATCTGTAAGAGGCTGGCTGTTAGCCTTAAGCATCAGTAAGAGGCTGGCTGTTAGCCTTAAGCATCAGTAAGAGGCTGGCTGTTAGCCTTAAGCATCAGTAAGAGGCTGGCTGTTAGCCTTAAGCATCAGTAAGAGGCTGGCTGTTAGCCTTAAGCATCAGTAAGAGGCTGGCTGTTAGCCTTAAGCATCAGTAAGAGGCTGGCTGTTAGCCTTAAGCATCAGTAAGAGTGTCCTCTGTAGCTCAGCTGGTAGAGCACGGCGCTTGTAACGCCAAGGTAGTGGGTTCGATCCCCGGGACCACCCATACACAAAAAAATGTATGCACGCATGACTGTAAGTCGCTTTGGATAAAAGCGTCTGCTAAATGGCATATTATTATTATTATTATTAAGAGGCTGGCTGTTAGCCTTAAGCATCAGTAAGAGAATGGCTGTTAGCCTTAAGCATCTGTAAGAGGCTGGCTGTTAGCCTTAAGCATCAGTAAGAGGCTGGCTGTTAGCCTTAAGCATCAGTAAGAGGCTGGCTGTTAGCCTTAAGCATCAGTAAGAGACTGGCTGTTAGCATTAAGCATCAGTAAGAGGCTGGCTGTTAGCCTTAAGCATCAGTAAGAGGCTGGCTGTTAGACTTAAGCATCAGGAAGAGGCTGGCTGTTAGCCTTAAGCATCAGTAAGAGGCTGGCTGTTAGCCTTAAGCATCAGTAAGAGGCTGGCTGTTAGACTTAAGCATCAGGAAGATGCTGGCTGTTAGCCTTAAGCATCATCCGGGGGAAGATGCTGGCTGTTAGACTTAAGCATCGGGAAGATGCTGGCTGTTAGCGTTAAGCATCATCGGGGGAAGATGCTGGCTGTTAGACTTAAGCATCAGTAAGAGGCTGGCTGTTAGACTTAAGCATCAGTAAGAGGCTGGCTGTTCGCCTTAAGCATCAGTAAGATGCTGGCTGTTAGACTTTAGCATCAGTAAGAGGCTGGCTGTTAGACTTAAGCATCTGTAAGAGGCTGGCTGTTCGCCTTAAGCATCAGTAAGAGGCTGGCTGTTAGCAATTGAGTACAGATGAAAAAAACCTAGATGAAAAATACAATTTCTACAGTAGTAACCGACATACCAAGTTGACATACAGTATAATGTTTCTTATTTCTCACAATGTAAAGGGTTCTGAACTTTTACATATAATAGCCAGAATGTTTAATTTAGCCCAAAGGACTGAGTCACCTACACATTGACAGTCCTTCCTTTGGTGTGCTATTTGTGAAACATTTTCCTACTAATGAATTTCTAAATGTCTGTTATTGTCTGGCAAGATAACAATGTATATTTACAGTATCAAATCATCTACCTAAGTATGTATGCTGTAATGCCCGACGACTGGCCAATACACGAGATTTGATTAAATTCGGAACTTTTATGCACATCATAAATGGACGTCAATATCAAATTATTTCAAATTTAAATATACTATAATCTCAAATATAATGAAATATAAACAGCAATAACTTAGCAGTCTGCACCGACTATTCCAAATATCCGCTACCGCTGTCTACGCACCATGGACAGCAAGCAAAGGCCTCTCTACAGAATAATGGACATGGCACGAAAATTAACCAACCTCCCAAATCAATAGTTCTTTGATTCTGAGAAAACTGAGCTGGTTGCTGCACATTCCCAATATGTTGCTGTCCTTGCTGAACACTCTGAAATGGTTGTTGCTGTTGGATGCTCCGCTGAAACGTTTGCGGTGGCACGTTAGGGCTGTCTGCGTGATGCTGCCGAGGATGGTATCCTCCATAAAGTCGGTATGTTGCTTGGACTTCCAGGGTAAGGAAGGACATGCAACAGACGAGTCCTCCGATTAACGATCTCATCCTGTGGCAGGCAGTTGGTTCTTTTAATAGGTCCCTATCAAGAGGCAATTCATAATACTAAACGACGAATACAATAATTTGCTCTCTGGGGCCATATTTAAGCATCACCGGCCAACACACGTGGGAGAAAGTTGTCCAATCGAAAATGAGACCTAGGAAGAAAGGATCACAAGTTCGGTGTTGGTTCGGGGCGGGTGTGTGACCCGCGGTAGCTTTACGCACACTAGGCTAGGCAAACGATGTGACGAGGTTGGAGATGCAATTTTGTTTTCCATTGTTCATGCAAAGTGCGGCGCCAAGCGTCACATGCAAGCTTATTCGTGAGATCAGTTTTATTCTGAATTTGATATGCACACATTATTTTTATTAGAACAAATAAAACTAAAACACATCTAGTATAGCTACAATTGATGTATAATAATATTCGTTTTGTTTCGTTTATTAGTTTATTGTTCTTTCAGCTTCATTACAGGTTATTAAAACAAACAGTTGTCCTTAAAAACTGAAATACTTTGCCGTTACAATAAAAAACATAAATGTTGAATAAATAAGACATTTTTAAAACGCTATAAATGTATTTGCTGACATTTTTCGATTATTAATGATATTAATGAATAGTATTCGTGAAAATCATGAACAAACTTGTTCACAAAAATAGAAGCCACTGGAATTTGGTTAAATTGGTTAAAAATAAAGAGTAAAATCAGTAGCTGGACGTAACAAATGTATTCTGGCCAAAACTGTACCTCTGAAATGGTTGGGCTCATATTAAAACAACTGTATAATTTTAATTTGTTTATGGAAAATCCTAAACCAAATAGTTATTTAAGCCGAAAGCAAGACGGCAGATGTGTGCAGTGGTGAGGATCTTAGGGAGGACAAAGTTACAAGGCTGCTCTTGAATTATTATTGAAATGTAGTGTGCTTTCTGGCACTGCCATAGCATCATTCGCTGGCTGGCTAGCTGGCTGCAACTTGGTCTCAGAGCATTTCGTATCATTATTTGGGTAAATCTGAGACACTCCATTTAGATTGATATGTTATGTTTCATGGTATGTATTAATTTGTGGTTGTCCATCACCAATTTCGTATGATATGTTACTAATTACGATTTGTCTTATATGTTACGAATTTGCAAAATGTACAATATGTTACGAAATGTAGCTAGGTGGCTAATGTTAGCTAGCTGGCTTAGGGTTAGTGGTCAGGGTTACGGGTTAGGGTTAAGATTAGGTTAGCTAAAAGGGTTAGGGTTAAGGTTAGGGTTCAGCTAACATGCTAAGTAGTTGCAAAGTAGCTAAAAAGTAGTAAGTAGTTGAAAAGTTGCTAATTAGCTAAAATGCTAAAGTTGTCCATGATGAGATTTGAACTCACAACCTTTGGGTTTTTAGACATTCACATTATACACCTACCCATCCACCCCAACCAATCACTCTCCTTTCATTTTTGCCTTAAGTAACCATCTGTCTTATGTAACCATACCAAACATAACATATCATACTAATTTGAGTGTCCCAGATTTACATTTTCTATGTTACGTCAAGCCTATGAGACCAGGCTGCCCAAGTGGTTGCATTTGAACCCTGCAGGTCTGATCAGTGTTCATGCAGGGAGGAAGTGTATCAGTGGTGACACAATGTGGACCAACTGGTTCCTACACCTCCACTCTAACACAGTGGGCCGAAAAAGGAAGAAGGTGGGCAGAGCCAAGCACAAGGCAGCCAGATCCTATTGGCCTGTTTCAGCATGTATTTGCATATTTCCCTTATGGAACGGCTACTCTCTGAAGTTAACTCGGATTATCCTTTTTAACAATGTAACTGTTTAGAAAGGTTGGCAATGAGTCAAGTGTACCAAACTTGGTGTACTCAGTTGGAAACAGATGGAGGATGGAGACAGGATGGAGACAGGGTGGAGACAGGGTGGAGACAGGATGGAGACAGTGGGACAGGGTGGAGACAGGATGGAGACAGGGTGGAGACAGGATGGAGACAGGGTGGAGAGCAGAGCTCAACACAGAGGGGACAAATAGATCACAACTCTAAAACCGTTTGTGTGCGTGTGTTGCTGTGTGTGTGTGTGTGTATGTGTGTGTGTGTGTGTGTGTGTGTGCCGGCGTGCGCGTGTGAGAGTTGCCTCTGTGTGTGTGTTTAACACCAGAGAAATACAGTATGTCCATGTGCTGTATTTACATAGAATGCTTTAGTTAGAAAGGGAATTAAGAGGTCAGATGTACTGTACTTGAGTTAAGGTTAGACTGACAACCTGACAGGGTTGGGTTGTAACATCTATTCTATTTTTATTTTATTTATTTTACCTTTATTTAAACTAGTCTTAACTGACTTGCCTAGTTAAATAAAGGTTAAATAAATTAAAATTACAATAAATTAGACTACAGTAATATAGGAGGAGACACCAGACTACAGTAATATTGGAGGAGAAATCAGAATACAATAATACAGGAGCAGAAATCAGACTACAGTAATATAGAAGGAGACACCAGACTACAGTAATACAGGAGGAGACACCAGACTACAGTAATACAGGAGGAGACACCAGACTACAGTAATACAGGAGGAGACACCAGACTACAGTAATACAGGAGGAGAAATCAGAATACAGTAATACAGGAGGAGACACCAGACTACAGTAATACAGGAGGAGACACCAGACTACAGTAATACAGGAGGAGACACCAGACTACAGTAATACAGGAGGAGACACCAGACTACAGTAATACAGGAGGAGAAATCAGAATACAGTAATACAGGAGGAGACACCAGACTACAGTAATACAGGAGGAGAAATCAGAATACAGTAATACAGGAGGAGACACCAGACTACAGTAATACAGGAGGAGACACCAGACTACAGTAATACAGGAGGAGAAATCAGACTACAGTAATATACAGGGTTGTAACATCTATTCTATGGAGACATACAATCTCATTGGACAATGTTTCCTTCAGATAGTAAAGCTCTTATAGAAAAGTCTTAATGTGTCAGTAACTGTTTGAAAGGAATACATTTGAGAGAAAAAAACAAGTTTAGAGTGAAGCTGGCTAATCTGACATTTACACAACAATAGCACACCAGAAGGGATGTTCATACTTTTACAGTTGATTACTTTTACAGTTGATTTTTTTCACTTCTTTTACTTTCTTCTGCATGTTTCTTCTGTGCAGGCTACTAAAATGAGAGAGAGGAGGGGACAACTGCCTCTAAAAGGGGAGAGAGGAGGGGACTACTGCCTCTAAAATGAGAGAGAGGAGGGGACTACTGCCTCTAAAACGAGAGCGTGGAGGAGACTACTGCCTCTAAAATGAGAGAGAGGAGGGGACTGCTGCCTCTAAAATGAGAGAGAGGAGGGGACTACTGCCTCTAAAATGAGAGAGAGGAGGGGACTACTGCATCTAAAATGAGAGAGAGGAGGGGACTACTGCCTCTAAAATGAGAGAGAGGAGGGGACTACTGCCTCTAAAATGAGAGAGAGGAGGGGACTACTGCCTCTAAAATGAGAGCGAGGAGGGGACTACTGCCTCTAAAATGAGAGAGAGGAGGGGACTACTGCCTCTAAAATGAGAGCGAGGATGGGACTACTGCCTCTAAAATGAGAGAGAGGAGGGGACTACTGCCTCTAAAATGAGAGAGAGGAGGGGACTACTGCCTCTAAAATGAGAGCGAGGAGGGGACTGCTGACTCTAAAATGAGAGCAAGGGGACCACTGCCTCTAAAATGAGAGAGAGGAGGGGACCACTGCCTCTAAAATGAGAGAGAGGGGACCACTGCCTCTAAAATGAGAGAGAGGAGGGGACTACTGCCTCTAAAATGAGAGAGAGGAGGGGACCACTGCCTCTAAAATGAGAGAGAGGAGGGGACCACTGCCTCTAAAATGAGAGAGAGGAGGGGACTACTGCCTCTAAAATGAGTGTCTTTGGGGAGAGAGAGGAGGGGACCACTGCCTCTAAAATGAGTGTCTTTGGGGAGAGAGAGGAGGGGACCACTGCCCCTAAAATAAGTATTTCTGGAGAGAACGACCCACATGTTGAAACTGTGGGTAAGAGATTTATATTTGTATTATATTGTTAGGCAATTTCCTGTGTTGAAATGTATCCGCATAAAGTGCTCAGCCAATTTTACTCAAAGGGTAACAAAATCATTGATCAAAGGTGTTTTGGTGTTGTGTTGAAGCAAAATCCATCAGGAGAGACCCGATTCCCCTGTACCCAGCCGTGTATCCATGAAGAGTGAACAGTCTATGGGGAAACCAATAAACGTCAGTGTTGGAGACTTCTCTGCTAAACAAGGGTAAGACCTGAAGGGGTCAGGGTCTCTTGGTGTTGATAATATGTATAATAACCTCAGGAGGCTGCCAAGGGATGGACAGCCCATAATAATGTTACTATGAGCCCGTCCTCCCCAATTAAGGTACCACCGGGCCGCCTGTGGTATTGACTTGTATAATCTATAGCTATATATTACTGATGTAACTGATGTTGCATGGTAAGAACTTTGTCTTATTTCAAATGATGGATATCAGAATTAAATGATATCAGAATTAAAACTGAAAGAGTGACTTGACAGGATCAGACTCAAGAGCCCATACTCCCCTGTACCCAGCTGGCTGTCCATGAAGAGTGAACAGTCTATGGGAAAAGCAATAAACCTCAGAGAGGGAGACTTCTCTACTAAACAGGGGTAAGAATTATTGTGTCATTGTTCTGGGGGGAAGCTGGTTGGTCAGTTGTAGTCAACTTCTTTTTCTTACAGAGAACAACAGGAGAGATCAGAACCAGATATTTCCAGTGGTCAGTCTTCCCAGAGTCATACAACAGACCTGGACTCAATATACGGTGAGCTGTCTTAGATAAAACTATGAAATAGAATTTAACTGAAATCTTTAGTCTGAATTCCCAATGTGTTTCCCTAAATGTAAAAACTGCTGAAAATAAGCCTGAATATCATTTTAAATACATGTCTTCTTTTGTATTGGTTTGTTTCAGTTGCTTGTGCAGAATGAATTACTCCTAAATGTTTTTAAAAAATAACTCTCCTCTGGACAACTTCCCGACCTGCAGCAGCCAATCAGATCCCTTCTGAGTATTTGGA